TATAGAATCTAAAATAATTCAACATATATTTTATATTTCTGTAATATAAATTCTTTGCTATTTCAAAATATATTAGCATGAAGTGATTTTCTTTGCCATGTATATAAAAAAAATATTGTTTTGCAATATAATTAAAGGTTTGTAAAAGTTTTGAAAAACAAACTTAAGTGTAGAGATTGTATTGCAATTTTAAATTTTCAACACAATGATTTAAAATCGTTAATGTATTATTATTAATCGTTAATATATATATAGAAAAATAGAAATATAGGATTATTGTGGAAAGCTTTCATCCCACTTCTGATGTAGGAAGCTAAGTAGTTACTAATAATGTGTATGTGTGTTATTACAAAAAAGGCTTTTGGAATTGAATAGAATCATTTTTATTCAATATAGTACTATGACCACTGGTTCGAAGAAAACCTCTGTCCTGGGAAGAACCAGCAAGAAACCCAGCGGGACATTTCTTTTAAATAGAAAATTACAATTTATTACTTTACACTACTACGAAAGACACGGATCAGAGATAATCAACTATAAATTTTCCTGAGACGAATTTAATAGCTGATAATAATATAATTCGTTTTCACGAATTACTTATCCGAAGAGTCGAAGGTGAGCTAGTAGCGGCATACAAAAAGTGCACCGAGCCACGCCAGAGCCAAGACTGCCCTAACGGTGGCCGCTCCGTCCGTTTTATACAAGCGAAACAAGTAGCTAAACGAGCGTCACTGCAGGTGCAATGCACAGGTGTGCGGTACATGTGTTGTTTACAAGAATACTGGCAGGCTACAGAGGTGTTACTGCACGTGCAACGACGCAGGCGCCGTCACGGCCATACATGCGTGGGTCCTCGCACGCACTCCATCACAATCTTAGTTATCGGTAGACAGAAAAAATTCGTTCGATTATCCTGACTAAACTCATAAACTTTTACACATTCAGCAATACGTTCTGGTCTGGTCTATATTGAACCTTTAGGTGTTAACAATCAGCTCTGGTCCGGTTTACATCGACCCTTCCGGCTATTAGTATTGGACCAGTTCCTTTGAACCCTGCAACACTTATCAGTTTTGGTCCGGCAACATGCTCTTCAAAACTCTCTTATTGTTTCTGCTAGTCCGGAATCACTATTCCCTGTAGCCATATCATTGGACCGGCATAAGTCCTGCAATGATTTCTCTTTTTTTAGATACTGCTTATGCTAATCCGGAATCACTATTCCCTGTAGACATATCAATGAACAGGCATAAGCCCTTCAAATTCTAGCCTAGCGTATCAACGCGGTGTATAGGTGTTTGTTTAGGCACACACCTCTTGGCTTGAGCTTGGTACACGTCTGTGTTAACTTGTGTTAGCATAGGCAAGATGGCGTCGTTTTCTAACGACGAACTCGCTGATTTCCTGAGTCGAGCCTTCGCCGAAATTTGGGCAGCATTCCTTATGCTACGAAAGGACACACCGATCTGTCACGAGGAAAACCTTTCCATTACGGTTTCACCGGCTTCGTAGGAAAAAGCCACCGCCACCCATCGTCAGTCAGGACAAGACTAAGTTGAATAAGCTGTCCAATTAGTTAAACAACAAAAAACTATAATACACAAAGGTGCAAAACGCCTATCAGGGTATCCGTATGTTAGTTAACACAATCGAGGAATTCCGCAACGTGACAAGTCACCTGATCGCATAGGAAATTAGTTTCCATGCTCGCTACCAGATGAGCTTAATCTTCATGAGGTCGTTCGAGGACTCCCTAAGGAACTCGACACCATACACATCTTAAACGACCTTAAGGCCCAAAATCTCCCGGTTCGTGAAGTCAAGACCGCACCGACAAGAATCGTTTTCTTGACCTCTGCTTTGTCATCCAGGACACGTGTCCGGAAGGCAAGAAGATATTCAACGTGCGGCATATCTGCAACCTATTCGGGATTGTAGTAAAAGCTACCCGTAATAGGGGCATCGTTGGCCAGTATCATCGATGCCAACTCTTCGGCCACTCGTTACGCCAGGCCTAGGTGTCTCAAATGCCTAGGTGACCATGGCACAACCGACTGCATCCGCACACCCGAGACAGCAGAGCCTCCGATCTGCGTTAATTACTGCGAAGAGGGACACCCAGCGAACTATCGCGGGTGTTCCAAAGCGCCGCGACTCAAACAGCGCGGAGGTAAAAGCCGTCCCAGATGTGCGGATCAGCCCAGCGTGTCGCAGTCACGGCTAACCGCCCCCAAACCTACATCTACTTCGTCGCCCTCTTCGAGGTGGTGGCCCTCTCCGCGCAAGATGGTAGTACTTCCGCGCCTTCCACGCCGAAAAGCAATGCGTGGGTAAAGCCTCCGGAATTAGTCGCCTCATGGCCATTGCCAACCCCCCCTGGGCCCCCAAACCCAACCCTATCACACAAGGTTAATCTTCCTTCGACGCTGACTTCTCTCTAGTCAGTGGCTTCATCAACATCTAGTCATAATTTTAGAAAAATAGTGGTGTATCATTGTGGCACCTATATGTTATAGGTTTCCTAAATGCCCCGAAAGGAAAAATATGTGGATCGAGGCTAATTGTCGAGGGGACCAATGGTTTTCCACCAAAAATAGTTTGCTATACTCAAGACACTTCACAGAAGACAATCTTCATATTATGAAAAACCGTAGAAGGCTGTTGGATTCCGCTATACCATCTCTATACTTGCCAGTTTTAGTATGGATTTTTACATTTTTTTTTAAAGTGTAATACCAATGTAGATTACACAATAAGTAATAGCATTAAGTGGTTGATTGAAACGTGATATTCTAATATTTAGGCGAATATTACACGTCGAAATTAAACTATTTTAATGGATTTATAAATCATAAAACAAGTGAAAGTTATAATGTAATTATTGTTATTCTAGTGTTACATGAAATTCAGTAATATCTTATTATTATTATTGTTAAGTACATCTAAATTTGAAACACGTACCGTATGGTTTATTAATTAATAATACTACTTTGAGGTACAACACTTGTCAAAAATACTCTCACTACGGAGGGGACATACCAGGGCACACACAAGGGATTCACACCATTTTGTTAGTGAGATAAAAGACCTAGATCTCGCTGACAATGAAACTGTGGTCAGTTTTGTTATTCAGTTACTATTCACATGCCTACCTATTGAAGACTGCATCTCAATTGTAACTAGGAAGCTAGAAGATAACAACATGCCTGCAGAATATGCAGTATTACTCAAACACTGCTTCACATCTGGCTATCTATTGCGGAAGGAAGAGTTGTACAAGCAATTTGATAGTGTGGCGATGGGCTCACCTATATCTCCTATAGTCGCCGATATATTCATGAAGGACTTTGAGGAAAAAGCCCTTCTTACTGCTCCAGTAAATCCAAGATTCTACAAGCGGTACGTAGACGACACTTTCACAATTTTACCATCTGACAAAACAACAGCAGTTTTGGACCACCTTAACTCCATTAACTCTAAAATACAACTCATATAAATCAACAAAATCCACCCAAACCCAAGCATACCACTGCAAGACTTCAAGATACTGTAAGCTCGTTCTATGTAGATCGGACCAAAAATAAATATTCAAAAACTGAAGGTATCCGGGCTAACTATGACATTGAGACGTCAAACATCTCAGTACCCCCCCTCCCCGTGATCATAAATTAATTAAACGCGATAGAATCCGTATATATAGTTTTATTCAATGTGTAGTGTTCGTGTAAATTTGAGAAATCATTAGATTACATTTACAAATATATGTATTGTTTTATTAATACACATTGTTATATTTTTTAATCAATTTCGAATAAAAATTGATCAATTTCAATGAATCAATCAATAAATCTTAAATTTATCAATCAACGTCCCAACCCTGTCTCATCACTATGGTTCGGACTTCGGAGCATTCTAAGTTCAACCTTGAATTATCCAGTCACAACGCATTTGACACGTCCCCCGCAACTCATGCATGCCGCGAAATTTGGTCAAATCGAAACAGCGGTATCTATTAGGGGGTAATCTGAGTTGCCGAACCATTGACAGCTACGGCCGTGCCGCCAGAGGGTCTCACTCATTTTGTCTTAAAATATTTTCGCTAACTGTCCGTTGCGTTAAGCTGTCGTCACTATCTCTAAACAACTTCGCAATATAAAGAAATAATAATGAATAACTTCGAAATATGATACATCAGATATATATATATCTCTATGAAGCGTAGACAGAGAATCCTATGAAGAGTTTTGTGAACACAATACAAATCAGACTAGGCTGTATATTTCATCATCTTTGCTTACCTTAGTTGGCGAATCATAAAACAACAACAATCATAGATAAATAGATAGGTAGTCGTAGACAGAGAAACCTATAGACTAATGATCGGCGTGGCCTCGAGTGAGAAAGGACGATAACGAATTTTTAGGTTATACAATAATCTTTATGACTTTTAAACACATTTAGATAAAACTTTTAATTGTTCTAAGAACTGAACTGAACAAGATTCACCAATCTTAAGCTCACAAAACACTTTTTTCTCACTTAAACCAACTTGTAAACTCCTTAAATAGAGTTTGCTAAACAAAAAAACCGGCACGGAGAAAGGGACAAACAATCACACCGCTCTATCTCATTTCTATGCAAGACGTATGCATAAATATATCTTTTTCGTGTGCGAATCCGAAAGAAGGCGTCAATTTGTCTATAGGTTTCTCTGTCTACGTAGGTAGTACTAATATGATAGATAACCTATAGTTATATACACAGTAATCTATGGTTGATAACAATAACCTAACCTAACCTTAGCTACCTACCTAACCTATCTACAAAAGACTACAATATTATATATTTTCGTACTAACCTAAACTTTAATAGGTATTTTGTTATATAGGTTTAAATTTAAGAAAATAACATAGATATTGCGTTTCAATTTATCATACAGGAAGTTGCGAATCATTTATTTTAAGGAATTCAGGAAACATTCATTATTGTCACCCGTTACGATGTCACTAAAGAAAATTGTAAAACATAAACAGATTAAGAAAGAACTATCAAAAGAACTACAATTTATAAAAGAAGTATTTTCCTCATTGTCAATTCCAATACACGTAAAAGGTGAGTGGAAATATACTTGAAATGCTATTTCATTAGGTTGGAATTATTGGGTGCGTTTGGCAGAAAAAAGCGCTAGCAAGCGCTTGTAAACAAAATGGCGATCGTAAGCGGTAAGCGCTATCAAATCGTAAGTAGCTATTTTCCTCCAGGACACGAAGTTAGTTTTAACCAGAGAACCTAACCTAATTTAATATATGTTTGTAAAGTATTCATATTAAAAACTTACCAATCATGATTTTTTAATAACATGTATAATATGTTTATTCATGTCAATATATTACTTAAAACTAATATTGCACAAAACAACTTATTAACTCTACTTCAAAACAAACAAAAATAAACAAATTGGCTGATTGTGTCAGCGCTACTGAAGTAGCAATCGTGTCCTGGCCGAAAACTATTTCAGCGCTTGTAAGCGCTTTTTTCTGCCAAACGCACCCATTAACTCATATAAAGCTGTACAGAAACTTTCAGAAATGGTACAAAACATAGTATGTCTGTCATAAGTAGAATTAGATTGGGATGCACTTGTTCACCTGTATTTTTGGCAACACTTAAGATTTTCCTTGAGACAGCTTGAGTTTTCTCATATGGCCAGCAGTGAAGTACCATGTCTCACGTCTATGATTCTGGCAGTTCGCGGAATGACGGAAGGATAATGAAATGAAACATTAAACAATTTTTCCTTTTCAATGTATTCTCCCTTAACCCTAATACATTTATTAGATCTGTCAAATAACTTATTAACACCATCTAAAAAAAGATTAGTCTGGGGCATCAAAATAATCGAATTTGTGAACTTCACTTCATCATTGTTGTCAAATATTTTCCCATGCAGTTCTTTCTTAATTTTTGGAAACAAATAATAGTCTCTTCGGGCCAGGTCTGGACTGTAGGGTAGGTGACACAGTTGTTCAAAACCGCACCAGTGAATAGCAAAAGGAGCCCGCCTTTTGTAAGCTCTCTTCACCTTTTTTCTATAATATCTTATTTTTATTAATCTAGTAAAGAAGCATAGTAATCTCTGGTTATGGAAACATCATATTCTTTACAATCAATCAAAAGGATACCTTCAGTATCCCAAAAGATCACCTTATCCTTAGAAGTATAAGACACCTTATACTTCTAATGAGGGGTGTACCCTTTTTATACCACCGCATCGACTCTTGCTTTGTGAACCCAAGTTTCATTGTCAGTTACACTTCAAGTCATAACTTCCTCCCTTTGCTCTCCATAGAGGTCCAAAAGCTCGTGACAACTTTCCACACGCTTCGTGTTTTTTATGCACAGAAAGCAATCTCGGAACCCATCTTGGGGTAAACTATAGACGTCTGGTACTCGCGAACAGTGTTGGGAGAGGGAGGTGGGAGGGGAGGGGGTCATGGGAAGCACCCCTTCTGCAACGGCTTTGGCACTGCGGGAACGGCAACCCCTTCCCCTTGCACAGCAAATCACAGGCACCCATGCTCTTCGGCTTATTGATCGCCTTTGGCGACCAGACTTAGCTGCTATGGCTCACTTAGGTGCCTGCGATTTGCTACAGCGGGCGGGGGCTGCCTCTCTCCGTGCCTGCGACTTTATAAAAACACTCGAGGGGTAGGGCAGACAAGACTAAGTGGAGTCAGGGTGTGCTAATGCAGGGTTTTAGAACCGATTTCACCAATCTTATCTATAAAGTCTGGTTGCCCTAAACTCTGCTATGATAGTATGTAAATGAAATAATGTAATGAATTGTTATAATTTTGTTATCTTAAAAACCTCTTGAATGCCCTCCACTGTGACTCAATTTGTATGTATGTAAGTCCCGTCTCCAGCCACAAATGGATTGTCTGGGTCCAAGTGACTAACTTCTTTAAGAGTGTATCTGTGTTAAAAAAACAAATTGACATATTTGTGTTTTGTTATATTATGCAGTTTTTTGTGAAATTTATTTTTTATTGTAATTAATTCAAAAGGCATTTCCGAAATCCAAAAATAGTGTAAATGGTTCGAGCTTAACCCTGACAATCCTACTAGATTGGAAACAAAATTAAAAAAACCGGACATCTACTTCATAATACGAGAACAAATTGACATATTTGCGTTTCGTTATTACACCATTTTTAGTGAAATTTGTTTTTATCTTAATAGGTTCAAGCTTAACCCTAACAAGCCTCCTAGACTAAAAACATTATTAAAATCAAGTACAGGATGTCTATAGCCAACCCCCATCTTGCACAGACTTTGGTCATGCCAAGGTGTTGATGTAGGATGTTTAAAATGGTGGTTTCTGATACTCCAACTAATGCTGCAAACTGTTTTTTCTTTAACCGAGCATCTTCCTGTACAAGTTTTCAACTTTTTAGACTATTTCTTCTTATATCTATTGGTCATCCAGGTCAAGGGTTGTCTTCAACGGAGTCCATTCCTTGTTTGAAAAGGGCGTGCCATTTGTAAACCATGGAGTCCCTGATAAACAGCTGACATCTCTTGAAAAATGGTTTGAGGTGGCCTACCTTGTTCGGTGTGAAAATTAATGACGCGCAATATTAAATTTTCTCCATAGTGGCTAGTTTCTTCCCGATTGACTTTTTTTACTCGTTGATAACTCAAAAGCGAATGACCCGATTAGGCTGATAATGGTACTAACAATGAGTCCCTCAACTAGCGCCTACGTGGATGAGTAAACTCACCCTCACCAACCCTGCCATTCTAGGCCTCCTCTCAATTCTGAGAGGGTTTTAGGGCAAGAAACTGTCCACTTTGCTGCCCCAATACTTGTTGGCGGACTTCACATATCTTTGAAATATTTAATTTTTATTTTTCAGACATGAAGGTTTACTCACGACCTTTTCCTTCACTGGATTTCTTTGGTGTCATCGGTGTCAAACTTATGTCGCTTGCATACTGTAAATTTTACTCTTGTTACATGCTTGTGTCTGTGGACTAAGTCATTTTGAAGTAGTTTTTTGATAATTATTTTTGTATTCATTTACAGATGACGATGCTGGTAATGACTTTGAAATGATAAATGGTGTGCAGCCTGAAATTGGAAAAGATTTTCCAAAACGTGCTACCAGTATTGTGGAATTGGAAGAAAAGTTGCAGAAAATTAAATCACAAAACAATTTTCATTTAAAGAGCAAATTAGCCAAAAAGAGTATTAATAGCAAACTGAATAAGAAACTTAAGAAAAAGGAAAGATCTAATAAAACCAAAGTTAAAGGTCCATTAGATTTTCAAAGCAATACTAAACAAGAGAAAATTGACAAAGTAAATGCAAATATTTCTAAACCAATCTTTAATAATGAAGGCAAATTAGTATTTTCCAAGTTTGATTTTGCTAATTTTGGTAAAAAAGGTGAGTTGTCTCCTATAAACTGATAATTCATTTCTATTAAATAAAAACTACCCCTTATTCTTTTCTTACACTTTTCACTGGAGACTCAGGATGAGATAAGAGTTTTCTCAGTTATGAAATCTGAAGCTATGGGTTGTAATGCAGGAAGACACCAAACTCATTTGCATGCAGCTTACCCTGTTATTGAACAAGACACAGCTGTCAAATGGTGGTATATTTGTTCCATAATGCTGAACCCATATTGTGAGGGTACCAACCCTGTGCTCACCCACCTGCATTGCATATTGAGTATGGGCACAGTTTTGGAAAGTCAGTCTGTTATGTCCAATATTGGAATAGATCTAATAGTACCTTAATTGCAGCATTCAGGTCGTCTGCAGCAGCATGCATGTAGTTAATATTAGATTGCCAGAACGCACTTAGCACTGAGACCTAGTGTATTGAATTATTTTGTCTTGTCTATCTTTGCTTAGCCTACTGGTTAATTGGGAGAGAATACTTTTGGGCTTTAAATTCGCCATATGTACTATTTTAGCCATATATACTTACAATTTTAAATAAATAAATATGAATAAAAATCCCAGCTTCTAAAGCTATAGAAACAGAAACAGAAACTTTTTTATTCAATGTAGATTATAACAATACTTATTGAAAGTCACTTTTTTATTTACCACTGGTTCGCAAAAAAAACCTCTGTCCTGGGAAGAACCAGCAAGAAACCCAGCGGGACTATTTTTTTTCCAATAATAGCAATCATGTTTACAATTAACAACACAAGACAAATTAGAAATAGCTTAGTAGCGATCACCCTTCCCAGGGGTTATTATCATCCATAAATTCCTTAATATTATAATAACCCTTTTTATACAAACTTAGTTTAATAACATTTTTGGACTTTGTGTATGACAAATTTTGTATATTTTCGGGGATATTTTTTGTATTTTGGATTGGGTTGTAAAAGCGCGTATACATCGCCCCAAGAATGAATTAATGACTCGGTGGAGTCGAGTAACTGGTACTACTAGCTTGTGTCTGCTCCTAGTATTTACAGAATGAATATCACTTATTTTCGCAAAACTACTTTTATTTTTGTGTACGTACATTACATTTTCATAAATGTATTGAGAGGCCAGAGTTAATATATTGATTTCCCTAAATTTTTGTCTCAGTGACTCTTTTGGTTTTAAATTATATATTGCTCTAATGGCCCTCTTCTGCAAAATAAATATAATTTCAGTGTCAGTCGCGTGTCCCCATAGCAAAACACCATATGACATAATGCTATGGAAATAACTAAAGTAAACTATTCTAGCTGTTTCAACACTGGTAAGAGTTCAAATCTTTTTTACAGCATATGCTGCAGAACTAAGTCTGCTAGCTAGTTTTGATATATGGGGGAGCCATTGAAGCTTTGCGTCCAGTGTGATTCCAAGAAAAATGGTGGTATCAACAAGACTCAGTTCCTCCCCATTTAAAATTACATTAGTATTGACATGTTTAACATTAGGAGTGATGAATTTCATACATTTGGTTTTAGTTCTATACAAATGCAAATTATTAACATTAAACCAATTGACTAACTTAGCTATAACATTATTTACTTCGTCGTAATTTAATAACTGTCGTTTTAATTTGAAAATTAATGAAGTATCATCAGCAAATAATACTATATCATGGTTATCCCCTACTATGTAAGGTAAGTCATTAATATATACAAGAAACAGAATGGGGCCGAGAATTGAGCCCTGAGGCACGCCCATTTGTACAATCGACCCGGAAGATCTCACACTATTGATGACAACTTTTTGCGTTCTGTCACTTAAATATGAAATAATTAATTTAAGAGCATAGTTTCTTACACCGTAGTGTTGAAGTTTCCTGATTAATGTTTCATGGTGAATTCAATCGAAGGCTTTGGATAGGTCACAGAACACATCCAAAGCATCCTATGAATTCTCCCATGCATTAAATATATATTTAATCAGCTCAACACCAGCATCAGTTGTCGAGCGACCCCTCGTGAAACCAAATTGATTTTTATGAAGTAAATTATTTACATTAAAACATTTAACATTTGATCAAGAATAATTTTTTCAAAAATTTTACTAAGTGTTGGCAGTACAGAAATAGGTCTAAAATTAGCGGGGTCCAATGTTCTACCAGATTTAAATAAAGGTATTACTTTACTATGCTTCATTAAATCAGGAAACACACCAGATTCGATAATAGTATTAAAAATAATAGATAGTTGAGGTGCGATTATATCTATTATAGACAGATCGGCGGTTCTCTTAATATCAATAGTCTTAAAATATTTTATAATATCTTTTGATGACACTTTATAAAATGTAAAATTCTTTGTACACACATTTACATTTTGTTTAAGTAATGATTCGGCGACGGCAGGAGAATTCAGTGACTTAGTAGTTAAGATCGGAATATCGGTAAAATATTTCTCAAAAACCATTGCAACATCCTGATCTGATTTAGTTAATTTATTGTTAAAACTTAACTGGTAGTTTGCATTGCGAGAGTTGACCTTACCAGTTTCACTATTAATTATACTCCATGTCATTTTAATTTTATTAGAAGCAGTCTTTGCTTTGTTGCTCAAGTACAATGACTTGGCTAAGGAGCACACTCTTTTAAATATTTTGGAATATTCTTTTACATATTCCCCTAAATTCGACGCTCGGATTATATGACCTTTCATTGTAAAGTTCATATAACCCTTGTCTACTCTTATGGACTCCTACTGTCACCCATTCATTAAATGCCTTGCGATTGTTCAAGGAGAATGTTTTAGAAGTAAAAGTATTATTAAATTCATTGCAAATGAGCTTAAATAATGTTCCATACAAAAAATTTGAATTATTTTGGTATGAAAGTAATGGAAGTTTTAAAGTATTGAAGTTTCTATTATATGAAAACTATTTTTTTTTTTTTTAGTTTTTCGAATTATTTAGTTTTTTTTTAAATTTTAATTTTTGTCGCTTTTAAAAG